CCCCGCCGCCGCCATCGGCCGGAGACGGAGAAAAGAGGGCGCGCCGGCCGGCCCACCGCGGGCGCTCCCCGGCCCCTCCCACCGGCCCCAGCTCCAGGTCACTCCAGACAATCCCCGAGCACCGGGGAGGGGACACCCATGCCCGCCAGCAACCTCAGAGGACGCGACCGGGCTGGGGCCTGACCGAGAGAAGCCAAGCACCCCCCTCCGCGGGCAGCGGCGGCCGCTGGCGCCCTCTCCCCGCCGCCTCGCACCCGTGCGGCCGCGCATGCGCGCCACACTCACCTGCGCGCGCCTCGCCATGGTGACCGCCGTCCTGTTCCGGTCCGGAAGAGCGGGAGGGGCTGAGGCGGAAGTGACGATCGAACGCGGTCCGCGCCCGCCCCGCGGTGCTGCCGGTGTCCCGCCAGTGCTGGCCCGCCGAGCACGACTCACCGTCGCCATTGTTCCGGGCAGCTCTGCCCTGCCCTGTCTCGGCGTGAAGGGTGACTCGGCCTGCGGGTGTACGGAGATCGTGACTGCGGGCTTGCATAGTTCTGTAATACCCAGAGACAGGGAGGCCTCACCCTCGACGTTTCTCTATTTGTTACAGATTACCACAGAATAATCAACACTACCCAAGTGTACTACTGCAAAATTCACCACTAGCAAGTGTACCTATCGGTGCCTGCTAGCTGCTGCCTCCAAGCAGTTAGTGCCTGCAAGTTGAGACCTATAACAATTAGTGGTAAGAGAACCATTCTATTATACCTTATGTTGTCACGTTGTACCCACTTATGTATACCTGGAAGTCTCAAAGTGGGAAATTGATACAAGGAAACAATCACCTCCTTTGCAATTTACTTACTCATTGCAATTTATAATGATTTCTGAATATTGCTTAATAAGCCTCCTTGCCCTTACTGTTCTGTGGAAGCTTACCAAGGGCTACAGTGATCATCAAAACAAAACAGTTTTCTGTGGAAACTTAGCAAGAATTGCTATGTGCAGGAAAAATAAGAGACATGTCCTTGGAAAGCAGATGGGTTCCAACAAGTTGAGTCTTTGTAGACTATATACGGACAGTAGAAACTAATCAGCTAGAGTTTTTAGATAAGATAGAGGTGGTAAACCAGCTGGAACAACTCTTACTGTTCAAGAAACTGACTAAGAATCTGTGCATGCTCCGAGGAAAAGTACAAGGTGAGAAAGACTGTGAGCCTTCCTCCTAAACACCCCCGAAGACGACCAGCAGCAGGCAATGCGCAGGCGCAAAGAGAACATAAACTGTTGACACCGGCCTTTTGAACTAATCCAGCCTCACTTATGCATGTGTATGTTTGTATTCTGTAATCCAATGAATATGTATATCCACACTCTATACATTTCTGGTAAAATGTGCAGTGGGTGTGCAAACTTTATGAAGAGATCCCCTTGCAACCTGGTGCCCGGAATAAAGATACCGGCTTTATAACTCTCTCCGAGTTGTAGAGTTTGTTTCTGCACATCAAATATTAAGAAATTATTTTACCAAACAATGCTTAACTTCATATTTAACAGGGCCTGATCAATTAAAGTGTACAGAAAAGATATCCTAACCTTGAGAATAGATAGATCCTGCAGAAATGTTCAAACAAGGTGGATAAGAAAGAAAGAACAGTTTGGCCAGACAGAGTTGTGAAACATCCAAGGAGAAGCAATTGTCCTCAAAAGACTCGTGACCATAAAATGGAAAAAGCAGTAGGGGGATAACTCCGCAAACGACCACTGATGACCACCTGAGACTCCTGCGCATGTGTGGTGTAGTTTTGCAATGCCAGCATTATGTACATGTAGTAGACAGGCGGAAAGGTGGAGACTTCTTGGAAAATGTATGGATATTCATGTCTTTAAGGTACATAAAGGATGAACTTTGGGGTTTGTATATGCACATTAGGTAGAATGATCCCCTGTGCATCCAGTGTTGCAATAAAGAATGCCTGCCTTCTAAAACTTCAAACTAAGACTTAAAGAGTTCTTTTGAGACTGGCTTTACAGTAGGACTGGTTCCCAAGCTTATGGTTTCCAGGCTGGCAGCCATTTTCTCTGCTGGTGTTCTTCAACAGACATTCTCTTCTCTTCAGTCAATTTTCTCTTTCTAGCCAGGTCACCTTTTTGGCTGCTCACATCAAGCTCCCCACAGCCCTGCCTTGCCTTGCCCACAGCCTAACCGACCAGCCCAGCCTCTGCCTGTCCATCCCAAGGCTGTGTGTAGTACTTTAAAACTCAGTTGCCTTTCTCTAGAAAACCAACCAAACAAGCTTATATTCAATAAGACATCATCCAGCATTAACTAAAGGCTAGACCTCTAGCTTCAATATAGTCTATTTCATTGTTTAATTGCAATTACATTCAAAGCTAATTCAAGTGTGGGAACACTACACTATTACTAATTATTTTTAATATTTCAAATTCCCAAATTGCATGTATTTTGGACTATGTACCTCATAAAAAACTTGATCTGTTTGCAGGAGAAATGATCCGTATTCATAGATCTGTTTGCAGGAATAATTACTGCAGTTGTGAATGAATTAAATTATTTGAAAAGACCTTGTTATATTAAAAATTATACAGAATTTGACATTTACATGGTGAGACAAAAGTATGTCAACCAATATATAACTGAAACAAAGAAGTTAACACAACAGTCAGAATCCAATGTAACTGTTAAGCAGGTACACTTTTTTAGCAGCGCTGGCGTAGCCCTGGGGAGTCTCCACCATAAGGGCTCCCACGAACTAGCAAAAGACACAGTTTACATACACACAAATCATACATATTCATCAGATTTCCTGGAAAGGGGTGTTTTACGGGTTCCTGGAATTAATTTACATAGTCCGAGCATGCATAGTAGAAATGGGGTGAGCATCTTTGGTGGTAGAAGGAAAAAATACGGGGTCTTCTCCACGGTATCCACTCTTTCCAAGGCATGTGCTGTGAAGTAAAGTCCAGGTGTCTTCTTCCTAAATTTGCGAGATTATCCTCCCTAGACGGTATCTCTGTGTCCTTTTGTTCAAGTTCCCCTCATTTTAGTTTGCCCAAGTGCCCATTGAAGGCACTGAGTCTGCTATCAGTGAGTTATATAGGGAGCGTTTTACATTTGTCTAGACAGGCAAAGAGGCTGCGGGAAAATAGAAAGAGTCCTTAGGAAACAAACACAAGCAAAACTTTCATGCATCACAGTTTAATCAGAAATTTATTGGTTTAAGCCCTTTCAATATATTTGCCTCCTGTCAAAAATCCTGAGGAAAGATAATTCTGGAGGAAGGAAGGGAAAAGGCACTTCTGGCTACAACAGCCTCTCCTGGCACCACACGACCTTTCCTGCGGCGCCAAACCTGTTGACAGCGTTGAAATCCTCCGCGGAAGGTACCACAGGGCAAACCTCCCCGCTGCCGCGATCCCTCCGCGCACCCTCAGTCGCATCACTCCGGGTCAGAGAGGGCGGGCTAGCCGCATGGGCGGGGACGAGCCAAAAAGACAGGCGAAACTACCAATCGCGAGGTGGTCCCGGCAGGCGGTGATCTGTCGACCCAATGAGCGCCGCGGGGGGCGTGGCCGCGGTAGGAATCGCGAGGCGGCGGGAGGGCGCGCGCGGAGGCAGCCGCCATGGCTGACGAGATTAGTAAGGCGCAGGCAGCGCGTCCCGGCGGCGACACCATCTTCGGGAAGATCATCCGCAAGGAGATCCCCGCCAATATCATCTATGAGGACGATCAGGTGCGGGCGCTACGCGGCGGCCCCTCGCTCGCAGCCGCCCGTGTCGGCGGG